ATTTTAATGCCATAGTTAACTTAGATCTATTGGTGTCACTCCCTGTGCACAGATTTATAGCTACACAGAGGAAAAAAGACCCCATCTGCCACATATAAACTTCTGATCTGGAGCTAGTACTCCACACATACTTAAGCTTTAGCAAATAGGGGTTTTTTCTGGTTTTATATATTTTGTATATTTTATTGTAAGGCATACATTTCAGTTAAACAATTTATCTTAAAATTTAGGAATAAATGCTTCAATTTAATGAAACTGTGGGATGAAGCCAGGGGGTTTTGGTTAAGTTATCCATATTTGTGTCGATGCAGGTGTACTGATTTTTAAGAATTACATCACAGCCATGTAAATGTAAATATTTATATTTAAAACATTGTTTTCTGTCCCAAAACATTTCCATATCTGTAGCTTTTATTCTGATCTTTAAAGTTGCACTATATTGGACAGTATCTAAAGATCTTCAGCTTTCTAGGGCTTTTACTCAGAAATTTATCATTCTGATTGGTTATAGTGCAAAGAGCTGAGATTTACTTTTCTATACTATTGATAACCAACAGAAATCAAAACTATTTCAAAAGTTTACTCAGCAGTTAAGGAATGTTTAGCTACACTTTGTTACCTTTTCCTAGCCTTTTTTTTTCTATTTTGAAAAAGCTTGTCTTCATGTTGGAAAACAAAGTAGGTGCATTAAACTTAAATTATGATTAACTTTTTCCTCACTATTAGAATCTGTTGTAGTTATGCTGTATCACAAAAAACTATATATTCAAAAAATGTAGTAAACAGTTTCCATTTATTACTTCTTTTCAAAATCCTCTGCTGCCTTTGGAAGTTTCCTTGACACTGCAATTGATTCCAAAAGGTAACTGTTTAATTGAAATTTGTATCTGGAGACTTTTCATCATAGTCCCATGATATGCAAAGATACAGCATACAAATAACATGCCAAAACACACAGCAGGCAGATGGTGTTTGTTTTTCCTTTGGATCAGTGTTGTTTTATCCAGTGGAATAGAAGGAACTATCCCTCTTCCTGCTCCCATATCGTGGTGATTGATGGCAGTAGTCTGTCATGTTTTTGCTTGTGTGGTGAAAATATTTGAAGAACATATTAAGGAGGAGCAGACTAAGATCTAGCTGAATTTCAAGAACAGAACTTAAGTACTCAGTAGATGAGTTTAAGCAATACAAAAAATACTTGTTTTCTTAGTAAGGAAACAAATTTTAAATATTGTTGTCCTGAGTTTGTTCCCAGGAAAGTGAGGATTCAAATAAAACATTTGTTTAGTAGGTAAGATTGACTGCTTTAATCACTCCTTAAAAAAGGTGTTGTGTGCTTAACTTTTAATATTTTTCTCTTGTTTTGTTGTGGTTTGTTTGTTCTTTGTTTGTTTTGGTTTCGTTTCTTTTGTGTTCTGGTAAGGTCCCTTTGCTGGGCTTACAGCTGAAGTTCTTTGCAGTTATTGGCATCCTGTGTGGAACAGCACTTTCTTTTTTCAATTACTTCCGTGTCATTTTTGGTGGAGGGGTTGGAAAGAATGGATCTACAATAGCAGTAAGTTGCTCTAAAAATTCAATTGAGGTTTGAATAATTTATGCCCATAATTTATTATGTTTCAGGTGATCCATAAGGGCTCTATTTGTTTAAGCTTTTAAGCAGACAGGCATGTGAGTGTTATATGGCTAAAGCAAAGTTCATTATCTGCCTGTTACTGGATTTCTTCTGTCATGGGAACCAGCAGTGAATTTTCCTAAAAAATTGATTAGTGGTCAAAGGGTACTGCAAAGGGTACTAAGAGAAGTGACATAATACTAATGGATTTTGACAAATTTTGGCAACTCTGGTTTTATTTAATGGGATTTGAAATATGTATAAAACTTGGACTTTATCATGTGACTGAAGTGTAAAACAGATTTTCCATCCTTTTGTATCTTAGGGAACAAGTGTTCTTTCACCAGCGGTGCACATTGGACTGCTTATCACACTGGCCACTACAATTTATAAAAAGTCTACAACTCAGCTGTTTGAAAAACATTCTTGCCTATATGTCTTGACATTTGGGCTTGTGAATGCCAAAATCTCGCAGAAGTTGGTGGTAAGTCAGTCCTAAACCTCCTAAAACTAACCTGGTTCTTGGCTAAACACTTACTGGATCAGGGGGAAGAGTTTTCCCATTTTGCTTTGCTCCAGCATTACCAGATTCATTGTGATCAAGACACTGAACTGGACTCAGGGTTCTACTGAGAGATTATATGTGACACTGATGAAAATGTATATTTGCTGTTGAATGGACTGGTTAGGATTTTCAGTTTTGTTTAACTTACTCCTAGAATTGTACTTTCTGTCATTAACATCCTAACTCTGGTCTCTTAAGCATTACTAATAGTGCTGTGGCTTCTCCTTTAATTATCTGAAATAAGAATTTACTGTGATCATTAAAATGAAGAGAGAAACATTTCTGTCTCCATTCTGTCTTTTCAGTCTGTCTTTTTTGTACATAAAACACTCCTCAATGGATTTTAAAAAGTTGCCTTACTACAAATTTACCAACATTAGTAATCCAGCCAGATGCTTTTTCAGTAATACATTTGCAAAGTCTTAAAGTTTGAATGCAGTGCTGGAAAACTAGAGAGTGGGGAGCCCCTGCAGATAGCTGAAATGCATGGGTATAGATGTAACATCCAAGAGGACATTGCTGGGCAAGAATGTGATGCCTGTTTGCTGGTGGTTACACCAGTCTTGCAGGGATGCACTCTTTAATTTTTATTTTTTTCAAACATAGGTGGCTCACATGACAAAAAGTGAAATTTGTCTTCAGGACTCTGCATTTATTGGGCCAGGACTTCTGTTTTTGGACCAGTACTTCAACAGTTTCATTGATGAATATATTGTTTTGTGGATAGCATTGGTAAGTGTTTTATATTTTTGGTTTGGGCCGTGCTTTAAGGAATGGATTGAGATTGTCCCTGTCATTCTGCTCTGCCATTTCTGACTTGCTCACATTGCTGCTGTCACTGCAGAAGGAGTGCTGGGCACCAAGTAAATATGTTTTTGGGAGCTGACTGTCTTGCTTTCCTTGGAACAGAGAAATGAAAGTAAATTTATAAATCTCTCCTGAAATTAGCTTTAGTCCATGTGGATTTTTAAAGTCATTCTGTGAACTGCAGACAAATGGTTTTTAACAGATCTTGTAAGTGTTTAGTGCTGTTAGGATGTTGGGGTTTTGTGATGGTTTTATTAATTCTAAACAAGACCACCCTGTAGCTATATGTTACAATGATGTATTTATGTTATGCTTGTCATTTGGATAAATTCTGATTAAAGTATAGCATATTTATAGTAGGGACAATTTTTAAAAATGGATTTTTTTAACCTGTTCTGTTTCGTTCTTTTGAAGTTCATATCCTTGTTTGATATGCTGAGATATGCCAGTGGTGTGTGCCTACAGATTGCCGCTCATCTTCATATACATGTCTTCAGAATTTCATCTCATCAAGCTCCTGAGCAGGTTCAAAACCATAATGACTGATTAAATAGGTCAAGGACAAGAGAAGAAGCAGTTAGGGGAATGAAGCAGTCTCTGTGTTTTTGGGAAGACAGATAAAGCTTTTGAAGAAAAGTTTTATGAGAAAGTTGACTGTGTTTCAGACATTACCAGATGTTAGAATTAGTAGGTACAAAGTTCTGCAGATGCTGTTGTACTTTTGAACCAATATGTATTTCCTTGCATTTCAGACCACAAATACATTTGAAAATATTGCCATTTCCTGTTAGGTGACTTTAATTTTGTACTTCTCTTCTGGTGAATGTAGATGCAAAGCAAGGTGCTACCAGCCAGAATCTGAAGAGGAATTTCATGTCTAATCTTGTAGCATTAGCTTCTAAAGTTTTGTTAGAACTGCTCTGAAGTGGTTGTCAGATGTACCAATGAATTCAATCCTGCATTATGAAGACTGGTAAAAGGAGGCAGCCATGACCTAAAAATCCCTCAGTCTCTCCTCTGGTACTTCTAAGGAACAGGCTGTTGGATCAGTAGATAAAGGAGGTATTCCAGGAAAATTTTCTTTGATTCAAAGTACTGTTATGAGTGCCTTTAGAATTCATGCATTCTCTAGTATCTAAGTACATAACCTACTGCTACCACATGAAACTTGAGCTTGCACTTTCCTTCAAGGCCAGTTTCTGGTTCTGTGGTCACAGTAAGGTCAGTCTCATTGTACTTCATCCTTTTCTAGACTACAGGTAGCTGTGTAAGGACAGGACTGACTTTAGGCACCCTAACTTGTATCTGTGAGCCTATGCAAGTGAAGGACAAAGCTCATTGATAAACTCCAAAGCCTGTGGCTCCAGCACTGCAGCCCACCCTTCTGTATTTCCCTCTCTGGTCTTTGTGCTATCCCTGTGCTCATTTACCTTACAATTGATCCTATTGTCTTGTAGCTACTACTGTACTTTATCCAAACAAAAGGGCACAAAACTGAACCATAATGTAAAACTCTCCAAAACAGGAACTCAGGCCCAATATCTGCTTCTTTCTTCCTTTAAGAACAGACCCCCTGGGTAACATAAAATATCTAACAAGAGGGCTGTTGCCATTTTAGAAAAGCTGAATGAAAAATTGATTACTTGCACACAAACCCCATACATAAGCTCCTTTCAAGAGATACTACTTGAATATGGTTTATGTAAAAAGCTGTTGAATGTAAGTGTGCATTACTCCTTCCAGTTACTGATATGTACCTGAGCTTCTGAGTTAATGAAGTCCTTTCTGTCTATCCAATAAAGAATGCCATGGTTTGTTTTAAAGAGCAGCTTCCTACCTGCTAATTAGTTCAAAAACACTTTCTGAGGCATTCAAGGAACTTTTAAAGGGGTGTATTGTCTGCTGGTCTGCAGGAAATAAAATAGCATCCACCACCCTCCTGCCTAAGAAGAATATAATGATCATTTTGAGGATCTGTAACTGTAACAGTTACTGCCTGTAACTCCCAGTGACTAATATAAATTCAGAATGAATCCTACTTGAGGCTGGAAATGACACAGCATCTGCACATGAATTTAGCCTGAACCCAGGCCATGGTCAAATAGGAAAGAAGATGATAATGACCATTTTACTTTGGCTGAATACATAAGCAAATTTACCTCCTGATGAAAAGACACAGGCAATATCTTAGGAGTGAAATGAGTGAGTTCTCCACAGTGGTCAAAACTGTGTAATGGCACAGCAGGTATAAGTAGTTTTGAGGACATGATTGAGGTATGTGGACAATAGGAGACTAATGCAGAAATCACTCAGAAAACCAGAACCATGACTCAATACTAACAAATAAAACCAGAAGCAGGAGGTAATGCTAACAAATAAGCTCCTGTTGAAGATCTAAAGCAGAACCTGTGACCTGTTTCATAGCCTCCTGTCACTGGCCTTAAGAGGGCTGAGACTCAGTAATGACAAAGCAGCATTGTTACTGGTTACCATGAGAGGCCCATATCCCCCATGCATCAGTGTAGCAGTGTAACTCCCATGTTTGCTCCTGTCCTGAATTCTGGCAGGGGCAGAACAAGGAGTTCTATATTCATTATAACCAAACAGCTGAAGCTAATGCAAGTTAGCCATCACCAATCTGGCTTCCAGACCTGGAGAACCACCATCAAATGACTTGACTCAAAATGCTCGTAGGCTGAGAAGAAAAGTATGGTTTTGAAACACATTATTGTGACAACATCACATTTGGTGTGTGTGGGTGTGTGGATGTTTTTTTTATCTACTGTTGTATTGAATCAAAGCATTAAATATATTGGCAACTATCTAATTCTTAAAAGTAGATATTCAGGTGTAATGGTTTTCTGTAAAAACAAACTGCATGTGCACTAAGCCAATTGTTTAGTTTATACTTATTGACTGTAATGAGATACATGAAAGATAAATGCTTTACTCTTAAAACTCAGGTCTCCCTAATTTGCTAGTCATTTGGAATTGCAAAAAATAATATTCCATCTCAAAGGGTTGTAATAGACTGTGCTAAATAGATGAGGTAAATTTCTTCTAGCAGTGGTTCTACAGAAAGCAGACCCCAAAATGCATAATGTTTAATTATTGTTACTTGAGTGGATATATTAAGCTCATAATTTAACTCAAAAAAACCCACATTTTCTGGACAAATTACAGCAGTTTATAAATCTCATACTAATACAGAGATAGTGCAATGTCTAGACTAGCAAAAGAGTTAACAAAATTTACTTTAATTTACCATAATGCACATCATTAAACAATTTTGTCTGAGCTACGCCATACTCTGTGAATTTTTATAACAGCTAATATATCAGCAGGCTAATTGAAACTGTGACAATCTGCAGCTTGTTAGAAATGCTTCTATTTGCACAATGTACCTAAAGGCCTCAAGTTATTATGTAAAATCTGGGAAATGCATGTTCCATTAATTTTTCCCCTTGTTACAATTTGGTAAAAAAAAGTGAAACTATTTAAAGTCCAGTGCTAGTGGAAGTGGATATGAAATTTTTAAAAATCAACTGAACAGACAGTGAACGGTTTGGGGTCCATACTGCCCCCCAGTAACAGAAGTTTACTAAGATATGTTCTTACAACCTGAACAGACAAGATTAGAACAATCCAGGAAAGAGTTTAATAGGAACCTTGAAACATTTAAATCTCAACATCCTTCTAATGCCTGTACTTGTATCGTGTTACTTAGGTACAAGTTGCTCCTCCACTGAGCCATCAGAATAACATGGACTGAAGAGACTTGCGAACAGTTGCCATCTCCTGCTGTTGCTGTCACAAGAAAAGGAGATAATGCTGAACAAATGTTGTATCAATATGATTCCTTTGAATTAAATGAATGTCAAATGACTTTTAATTGAATGTTCTATTTTTGCATTTAGCTAACTTCATAGTCTGATATTTACCGTGTCCATCATAATCTTCTTCTGCAACATCGCCATTTCCTTGCGAAGTTCATTTTGGGCACCGGCCAGAAGATTTTCATTGCTCTTCTCCAGCTCTTCCATGCTCTGAAGTTAAGGATAATATTAATTCAGAACTCCTTAATGTCAAGCACTCAATTTAAAACAACCAAACAAACCAATAATTATTCATACTACAATTTAATTTTTACAGTGATCACAGATAATTGATGAGTTTGTCACAAACTTGGCAGAGGAATCATAGAGGACTTCATACCCCAGTCTGCACTCCTGTTTGCACAGTGTGTACCCTGGCAAGAGGACAGAGCCCTCCAGTCAGCCTCTCTGAGGTCTGAGTTACTTTTTCTGAATTTCATATAACATAAAAATTCTACAAGAGGATATTGAACAGACATCTGTCAAGAATTTTAGGGGTTCAATATGACAGCCTTGCTGGACTTGAAGTGAGGAGTATAAACCCCACTGCGTTTCTTTGCACACTTCTCCCCAAATAAGCCAAATAAAACTCCCTGGTTATCTTCCCTTTTTTACATAAAATTACACTTACCTCTGTGTATGTGTCTAGTTGCATTTTCCTTAATTTGTATTTATTTGAGCTTATTTGAGGTTTGACTTCTACCTTTTGATCTTTTTTGAGGAGAAAAATCAAAGTGATACTTGACCTTCTGTTCAGTTTTTCCTCTTTGATGAAGACATTTTTGACATTTTGGAACAGTTGTTATTTATTAATGCTTCTGTAATATATTCAGTAAATTCTGATTTTTTTTAAACTAAAAGTTGCTCCATTTCAGATTTATTTTTATCAACTACCATGCTTAGAAAAAACCCAAACCAAACACCAAGCTTATCATAACTGAAATTTCAAAACCAGCTAGGAAATTACTTGAACTGAAATTAAGGTTTGTCAGAAATTGATGGACTTGAATCTGCCCTGTATACTGACAGCTGGTGAAGCCACACCTGGAATGCTGGGTCCAGTTCAGACTCCTGAGGACAAGAGAGACATGAACATACAGGATAGATTACAGCAAAGGGTCATGAAAATTAGTAAGGCACAGAAGGTTCTCTCTTGTGAGGAATGCCTTTAATTAAAAAAGTAAAATTTTTGTGTGGTTGTACTCTAAACAGGTTTTGCTTGCTGTCTAGTATGTCTAATTTACTTTGCTAAGCTTGAAACACTGAATTAATGTAGCTTTCTTAAGTGGTAAGGATCAGCTGCTTTCCAAGAAAAAGATTTACCTTTAAGAACTGCTCATAGAGTTGCTTAATGGTCTTCAGTCTCTGACTTTGAACTATTCTTGCCTGTTGAAAAACCTTTTGTTGCTGACGAAGCATATTCTGAAGCAGACGCAAAAGAAAAACATAATTCCATCAGTTGTTAAGCAGAGTGCTTGGAGAGCACACCAGTTTCATTTTTCAGAATCAGGAAATCTGCCTTTATTGGAAATCTGTGCCTTGTAATGTGGATCTCTGCCTGGAAAAGTTACCCTGGCTTTTATTAAAGTAGGACTGAAGACTGGATTAAGCCCCAAGTCACCTCCTGAGGTCTCTTGCAACCTGAATTATCCCTGTAAAATCCCATGAGGATTGCTATGCCCCACAGCTTCTTAGGGTACCCCAGAGGAATGTGCTACCTAGGGAAAAGGGAGCCTTGCAAATTGTGTTGGAAGTACAGAGCAACAGCACATGATTACATTCCATTGTATAGCTCCTGTCCTCTTTCAGTGATCAAATTCTCTTACATTTATTATATACAGGCATTTTTTTAAGGAATGTATGCTACAAAAACAACTACTTTCCTTTATTCCTTTGTTCCCTGAAGCCAAAGACTATGGATGGAGAGAAATGGCACATGTCTTCTCCTTAAATGGTCCTTGCTTTTCTCAAGCTGTATGCTGGCATAGGGCATCACTTAACAGTGTTTATAAACTTGCAATGAAGTTTATAAATGCACCTCTCTTTCCAAACTTAAACAACATAAAGTGTTTTTATATTTCTTGAGTATAGAAACAATATTCCCTCCTTGTGGAAAATACAGTGAAGCTCACACAATGCTGGAAACTCACCGCTAGTTTCTCTTCCTGCTCCTCTGCCTTTTGCACATCTACATCCCACTGCTGAAACAGAGTCAGGAACTGCTGGGAGAACTCATGATTGAGCTTCTGCCTGTAAACAGACACTGTCTGTAAGTATGACAAATGCTACAGGTTCAACATACATGTGGAATAAAATAAAAGCTGGCATAGACAAGGAAATAGGCTACTTTGACATCTGACCCCATTTCAATACTGTATGTTTTGAAAAACTGAACACACACATACACTGGGTGGATGTGGAATATATCTATAGAGACTCCCACAAAATACTGGTTAAAAAGAAATTATAACAACTCTTCTTCCTAACAGTGTCAGGTTTTCTGAGATTTACCATGTTTTCTAATTCAATTACAGGTGGCTGCTTTAACACAAGGTGTTTACATTGCAGAACTGATAAGCTCATTTCTTAAAATTTTGTCCATACAAATTTCAAACACAAATAAATGTAGACAACACCAAGACAGTTACAAGCATTGCTGACTTAGTTTTTAACTGTCTCTTTTTTCACTTTGCTCTATCTCTGTCAGATGTAGTAATTAAATATGCCTTAAGAGGTGAGAGGAATGTTAAGGAAGGTGAAAATTATTTACTTTCTTAACCAGAATGATATTAAAGTTTTACTGAACAGTTTTCAGGCAGAAACAAAAAATTCCAAAGTGGGGAAAACCCCTCCCACATTGTTTTAAAATACATAATAACATCAAAGGTCACTTTCCATAAAGATAAAAGTAAGCTCTACTCTTGATTGTGCCTTGCTCTCAGAGTTCCAAATCCTAAATTTGTCTGTTCAAAAGAGAATGTGCTAAGTCATTACTGCCACATTAACAAAGGGGACACAATGGAAGGCAGCAGAGGCCCTGAGCAGATGTTTAACATTAGATACAGTGCTTGCTATTGCAGGGTGACAGACCAGCTATCCATGCTGTCCCCCAGAAGGGAATCTAATTCCACAGGCTTGGAAACCAAGAGGAAAGGTCACCTTTGCTCCTGCTGCGTTTTCCAAACGTGTTCAATCTTCTGGTTACTGGTTTTGAGTGAGGCTTTTGTGTACATTTCTAATCGTTTCCTCTTAGCTAAGAGAGCCTTGTTAATGTCAGCTGAAAGCCAAAGAACATTTAGAAATTAGGCATACTGGAAATGCATTAAAAAGGCTGATGAGTTACACTTTGGAGAAGCAAATGAGTTTTGTTCTAGCAACAAGAAGCTGGTGTGATCTGATGTGGTGATGTCCCTCAGCCTGCTGGTGGCACTGCTGTGAATGCTGTTTCTTTATGCCTGTCACATGCCCTAACCAACACCTGCTTCAGAGTCATATGCCAATTTCTTGAATTTCAGAAATAAATTAAGGTTAGTATGTGGTTACTATCCCTGTGAACATACTGAATGAATGAATAACTATTTTTATACTTCAGAGAGACAGTAGTTTTTAAGTTACTGTATTTGTTTCACCTCAATCTACATTTGGAGATTTATCAAGTCACAGCTTAAGATTAATACAGTAATTTATTTTCCTTCTCACTGTAGATTTCAGGAAACATCTGTCAAACTTCTCTAATTTGCTGAGGCATCTGTCTCTGCTAATGCCAAACCCACTATTTTGTGTAGACAGCATCCTCTCTCTGATCCATTCATTCTCCCTCTTTCCATCCTTCCTTTTTTTCCTTTTTTGAGTCTTAAATTACAGACAGTCATAACTTTTTAGCATTGAAATCCTCCTTTTATCTGAACTGCCAGATCTCTAATACCATTCTAATATGTAATACAAAATATTTAATTTTGTGACAGCCAAAAGTTCTAATTTGTGGATTAAGAAGTTACTCAAGCTTCTCTTTCACCTTAAATTTGACATGCAAGTAATGACTCTGTACAGGTTTCTTTTATTACATACAATGAAAGTTTTACTCAGTTATTGAATGTGCAATGCTGGCATTAAGATGGTTTCCCTTCCTTCCATGGCTTTTTGATGTTTGCTTACTCTGTGATGGATATTATTCATTTTCTACAAATGTTAAAAGTATTTTTTCTCTATCCTGTAGAGATATCTGTATCCTATCTAGAATTCAGCTGGTAATTTAACTAGGTAAAGCCACCTGAGGATCTGATTATAACTATACTAAATCCTGCTGAGTGACACACACAAATTGCTCATCACTGGATGAGCAGCATTACTGACCCTCGTTATCTGGCTGTTCCAGAAACTCTCATTCCTTCTGATTGCTGAAATTCTCTTACCTGTAATTCCCTGTTCTCTGTATTTCTGGAAGTGCTAAGTACAGACTGCTCTCTCATTCTGTATCACAACTAAACTCTACTTCCATAATTGCTAGAATTAGAACTGTTTGTTCTCTTTTGCTGCTTATATTAACATTTACAATTCCCTTATTTCTCACTCAAGTCTTGCCATCCCCAGTATCCTCTATGCCAGTGTAACAAAAAACTGAGTGAGAACAACAGCAAACTGCTATTGTCCCTTTTCTCTACAATATATTTACTACTTATAAACTTCATCTTAAAACTGGAATTGATTATCCAAAGCACTCATGCATCTTTCCCTTTTCCTTTGTAATTATGTACACTTACAAGCTGTGACTCATTTATATGCAGATATTCCCTCCTCTTCTTTCCCTCTGCTCTGCTTAGATATAACTTTTTTTTTTTTTTTTCCTGAAAACTGGCTTTATTCAGAAATGCTGAAAAGTGCTACAGAGACTAGTCATTTTACATAAGTTTTGAAAGTTATTTTATGGTGAGCCATTACTGCCAACTCTGGCACTATATTTTATTTATTAGAATGTAAATGTACTTACCTCCAAATCTCTCCAACATATTCTGTACTTCACCCCTACAAAACAGTGTTTCAGATTTTTATTTGCCCATTTTCTGACTTTAGACCTGTTGAATATGCTTAGAACTAATTTTATTCACATGCCTATTATTCTAAGCAGTAACAGATCTGCCACTGCCATAAGATAATTTTACTCCTTTTCTTCTCCTGTGAGAGGTTTATTTTTCAGATAAATTTGCCTTTTTTTGAATAAAATGCTAGAATCTATTAGCTACTCCCCAGTAAAGAGGCACTATTATATAAAGAGGCATTTAACATGCCTTGAGTAAGGGGAGTCAGTAAATAAAATTGATTATTCCCTATAACAAAGAAAACAAAATGGGTATTTGGAACACCAAATGAAAACAAGTCCTTCTCAGAATGACTGGCACAGTAAAAAATCCCAAGGCAAATAATTTCAGGGTTGTTTTTGCAGCATCTTTAAGATGGTAACACCAGTGTGTAAAGCAGTGTTACAATGCAGCAAAAACAGTATCTTCAACCTAACCGTTCTAATCTGCTTGAAAACTCTTTAAGCATGTACTTTTTTATTATATTTACACTGTCCATTAATATTAAATTTGATTAATATTTATTCACTCTCCATGAATATTAAATTAAGATTTATCTGTAAAATTATTTCTTTTTCATGCAATATGTGGATCATTTAAAGTATTGGTAATATCTTCAAGCAATTAAAATGAGAAGAAAAAAATTAATAGGATTTAATTACATTATCAACAATTAAACAAGTAACCTTTTAAAAGAAATTTTAAGAACACACAAATATATCAATTTTTTCTGCGTGTTCAATAGAAACTACAAGAAATGGAAGAATTACAGTTTTAAAATGCCTTTAATTCTTTTTTTACCTACCACTACTGTATTATCTGTCACTTGATTTTTTTTAATCAAATACCAAAAAAAACCCAAACCAAACCCAAACAAGACAAAAATAAGCATAGTGAATAACTGAAGTTGGTATCTATTTAAGACCAGCTTATTTTGGAAAAAGCCCCCAAACATCTAACCTTACCCCACATCATCTGGAACCACATGAGTATTCACCAGAGGTCTTTTCTTTCCATGCTTGTCCATTACTGGTATGTCACCTTAAAGAGGAGTATAGAAATATTTACAAAAATACATTTTGTGTTGGTTGTTCACATTACTAAAAGTGTAAATTTTTTTCTGTAATGCCAATTCCCTGCCCATGTCTCATGGTCAGTGCCCATGAGCAACACTGGCAGCTCCTGTAACTCTGAGTCTGGAGCTGGCAGATGGTGGAGAATTATTCTGCAAGCAGACTGGGGCTGGCACTGCTCTGAGCTCTCTGCCCTGGGCCCAAATAGTTTTAATTTCTCTACACCATTACTCTCAACTCACAATTTAGCAATCATCAGAAAGCTAAAAATAACATAAAAATTTATAAGAGTCCAATCTGAATTTACTGTAAAAAAGGTACTGTAATTCTGCACCTTTAAAAAGAAAAATCACAAATAGATATTTATATTATTTTGAAAATTACCAATCAAAATTACACAGTAGGAGCCTGGGGGTCTTTGGCATTATAAACCATGCTGTGCTCAGTCCCTGGCTGACTCAGAAGTTCTTCCCTTCTTTTCATAATCACAAATGTGATAAAATTCACATTTTACAAATGTCCTAAAAATTTCATATAAGCACCTTCTCTAATATCTTCCTCTGATCCACTCAGTTCTTTTCTTTCCTCCTCAAAGTCAAAAGAAGGTATGGTCTGATCTTCCTGTGCTGGTTTACCAGCTTTTCCTCCATGCTTTCTTCCTGATGGTGCCATGGTGAGATCTTTCCCTACTGAAACAGTATATTGTATTTGTGACATAACTTCCTCCACAATAAACTGAACATAAATATGTTTTCATGCTTACCTGCACCTATTATGGGTACCTCTTTAACAGTCTGCACCTGTAAAGATATGCAAGCAGTCAAACTGGTTTAGTTTTGAGGTATTCCACAGCATTACCCATCAGTGATGCTTTTAAAAACATGTTAAAAATGCCAGGGCTATTAGGAACATACTTGATTCTGCTGGAATAAAGTACCCATTTTCTTAAGATGTCTGCCAGTTTAGCTTCCATAAGGTTTATTACACATTTTGTCATATCCAGTACTGCACTCCCCAAAAGCTATGCCAATATTCTACTGTCCAAAATAGAGGAATGACAAACCATAAGAACAATGTGATCCTACAAGTCATCCCACACTGTAAAGTCAAATATACATATGCTTATGCCATTTTTTAAAGTCCTAAGCAACTTCCAGATTCCAATTTATCTTTCTTTATAGCTATTACACCTCTGCATTCTGTAATGTGCCATTTCTACACTGGCAAACATTTTACACATAGACTACCCTCTTAGAAAGTTATTCATTTATTAACTTTAGTAAATTTAATCTATTTAATCTACTTTAGTAGATTTATCAACTCTCTCACACACCTCAGTTTCCCATTTCTGTTTTTGTTGGTTTTTTAATTTTTAGTTATTTGTCAATAGCTGTGGCAAAGTTGTTTAATTCCAAATTCCATGGATCTGTACAAACATGGCCACGCTATGCTAAGGAAAGAGTACTTTTTAATACCAAGCTTTTTCTGAGGTTGATGCTTCTCTACGTAGTATGTAGAATTTTAGATTTTACAAGTCTCTTGAAAAACAGGCCTCTTTATTGGAAAAAACTGGAAAATCAAAAGCCTTTGCATTAGAATTATCCTCAAATGACAGAAAATTTCAAGATTTAATCTGCTTTTTGACTACTGACTGTTGAGGACATGATGTAAAGGCGGAGAGTGCTGGGCCATAATGTCTAGCTGTGCCTGTCCCTGTGCTGCTGAGGCACTTAAAACTGCAAGCATCTATTTTATCTGGCACACAGACACTTTTCTTTGTATTAAAAATCAGTTTGATTGTATTAAAAATCAGTTTACAAAGCAAAACTTCTCAGTCCCCCTCAGGCAGGTGCAAAACAATCCTGCCACCTCACAAGCCTAAGCAGGCCCCGCCCATCCCCTGTGGGTACCTGTTTTAGCCGATCTGAGTATCTTCAATCCATAGCTGTATACTTTAACAATGATTTTTAGACAAACTCACCTTTTTTTTTTTTTTTTCCCCACCCTGCCCCAAAAAGATATTAAACAAACGGGTGCTTGTGCGTGGCTTTCCACGGTGGTGACCCACCTCAGAGCAGTGAGGGAGACTGGGGCCGTCAGCTGCAGCCTGAGGGGACGCACAGGCAGCAGGGACAGCGCTGCTCGCACCTCCCTTAGCAGCAGAGGGAGCTCTGCCGGTCCCAACGGGAGCCCCGCCGGTCCCAAAGCCCCGGGGTCCCGGGCAGCCCTCACGGCGCTCCCGGGGCTCCGCCGCCGCCTCAGCGCCCGCCGCGGCCGGGAAAGGGCGGGAACGGGCGCGGCCGGGCCGCGGCGCCGCCGCCCTCAGGAGCGGGGCCGGGCAGCGCCCGAGGAGCCTCACGCTTCTCAGCAGCTTCATCCCGCGTTGAAAACGGAGCCGTGCTTCAAATTGCTATTAAATCAATAAAGCTGCAAGGTTCTTAACGGAAAAAATAAAAAATTTTGACGCAAAGATTCATACAGATTCCTGGCTAATTTGCCAAAACATGCGAGCTTTGGTTGACTTTGAGACAGAAACGGCAGACAAAAGGTTCATCACATTTTAGTTAATTTCAAAGCAAGCCAAGTATTTTACAGTACATATGCACATACATTTTGTACATCATCTGATTACAAAAAATTAATGGTTTTTGAATACTGCTAATACAATTAAGTGAAGATACACCACCAAAAATTTCTGCTTGAAAAGATTCAGTAACCTTTCCCACATTAACCACGCTACTCTGATATCTCAGCAAAATACAGGGCCAAACCCCGTGAAATTTAAAAACACCACAGCTTCGTATGTCAGTACAAATATTGTTATGAAGTGAAACACTGCTCCCCATACATTTCTAATTTGAAAGTTTTTTACCCATTCATATAGAGGCACTTTTGCTTTTTGATTTACAATGCTTGTAAAATATTTTACCTTGATCATTTTCCTTTGATTACCACCTCTCTTTGTAATCAAACCAAGAAATAACACAATTTCTTTGTGTATTCTTTGGACTATAATACACCAGATATAAAACATCTTTCAAATAAACCATTAGATGTTATTACTGTGTAATTTTTTAGTAACATACCTTTCTTTCAAATCCCAATCATACACTACAAATAGAGAGATGAATTGTCACTGTGCTTTAAAGAATGTCAACATCTATAAATGTATTCTAAATTTAAATGACAAGTTACATAATTCTCAATTTTCCCCAGAAGGCTAAAAAAAGCAGCAATGACAGAAATTTGCAAAATGCTTTGGAATGCAAGATCAAGGACTTCTTAAGCTGATCCCAAACAACTTTTCCTTCCAACATTTTATCTAGTTGGCAACATCCACTGCAATAAATGCAGTTACATTTGTTTAGGTAACCCTTTTTATAAAAAAGGATAACATGGCCATGAACTAAGAGTTGTAAAGTAAGATCTGTTGAAAACTGCCTATGTACAGGTGTCCTGCAATTATTTGTTGTTGTTATTTTGCATTGTCACAGCTCCAGCAGCCTTTATATCATGAAGAGTACTGCAGAGATTCAAATGTAGGTGCATGATTCTTTTTCTTCATATCAATACAGTTAAACAGCAAACCAGAAAAGACACTTATGAGAGAGACATTTAAAATGCTTAATCACAGCTTGAGGTAGACTGATCTCCAAAATAAAGCTCTTCTACACTTTGATTTGTTCACGACCAACTTCTTTTTGGATCCTTCTCCTTGGAAAAATCTTTCGTTTAAGTGCAATTAGCTGAGGAGAGAAAAAAATACAGTATTTTATTGTATTTTATGCTGGGTTAAAGGTCCACAGCTGGTCAGGTTTTCATCCTAGACACTATCAAATCTGTACCACCCATGGTAAATACTCACTACTGTACTTTTTTTTCTGATTATACCAGAAAGGCATTTTTTACTCCAATTCATCTATTAGATGTGCACATTTCCACTAGACTTCTCAATAATCAGAATACAAGCAGAAAGTGAAAAAATACACCATGCCTGTATTCTGATTATTTTAAAAGGTAATTTGTGTATTTAAATTAACACCAGACTACATTCTATTTTTAGAAGATCAGCACAAATCTGGCATCTTAAAATGGTATTTAGATTCCTAACTGTACCACTGAGTTGAGTATCCCCTTCCAAAACCAAGTTACTAATGGAGTTTTCTAATCTATAAAAAAGGCTGAAAATCAAGGGAAAGAGTCATGCAAAAGTTACAGGTGGGAAAAAAATAATAATCAAAAGCCAACCTTTCAAGAATTACACCCTCTTCATCAGACCACGGAAAGTGTTACTTAAGGCCCCAACCTGCAAAGAATTACCCATATGATTTGTTCCATTGACTCCCTCTGAGTTTAGCAGGACTAATCATGTTCAAGAAAGCCATTTTAAGCTTGCAGAAGTCAAGGCTTTTTTCCCCTTTAGTCAGATTCAAAACCTTTTGAATTCAGTAGGAGCCTTTGCAATCAATTACTTAGGGAAGAGGTTTTGATAACGCCTTTAAGAAACTTAAGATCCCCTTCTGGATTAATTTTTCTTCCTCTTAACTTACTATACACTTCTACCAATATCCATGTTAACAGACCAAGAATTTCAGAAACAATTACTGAATTTGAGCATCCAAATTTAGCACACTGGTGATGGACTTTACTGTCACAAGGCACCTGAGAAGGTGCCAGTCTCCTTCTCCCCATATGACTCTCTTTTCAAGGAATCTCAACATGGTGACTTAAAAATTAAAGCAACCTATTAATGAGTCATGTAACATCTTTATTTCTTTTATGAAGGGAAAATCCTATCTACTCTTCAAAACCTATTTAAAAATCCATCCAATGTTATTCTGAAGATTCTACAATCTGTTAAGTGTTATACATATTTGATAAGAAGACATTAACTTTACCTGTTCAGCAAAAAATGAGATGACTGTAAATAGAATAAGTGTTATTAAAACACAGTGGGTCCAGAATTTGAGCTTGTCTCTATATGCCCTCCTGGAGAAAGAAAGAAGGAAACAGAAAAACAGCTTCATATATCATAAATGCAAATATTTATAGAGTTTCCACAAAACATGCAATGACAGTTTTTTCCAGTTCTAAAAGGGTGACTAAAAAGAGGACATAGGTTCTCTCTTCACAAAGAGCCACAGAGAGGACAAGGGGCAACAGCTACAAGTTGGACTGGGAGAGGTTTCATCTTGATGTAAGGAAATTTTTTTATAGTTAAAACAATAATTTCTGGAGCAGTCTCCCCAGGGACAGAGTAGAGTCTGCACCACTGGAAGCTTCCAAGATAAGACTGCTCATGGTTCTAGATCATGGGATCTTTTAGGTGAGAAAAGACCTCAAAGATTGAGTCCAACTGTTAAGCTAACACTGCCAAGTCCAGGCCTAAACTACATCCCCAAGTGCCACATCTACTTGTGGCAACTGTGGTTTTGCATCACACTATATCCTTTTTGACCAAACTGCAATTCCCTTACGTGCTACAGTTATATACCTGTAGCCAGGACACTTGGGAGCTGGCAGGAGACAGTCTCATCTAAGAACCTTTTCTCATGAAATGCTGGACCAGATCATCTTTTGAGGTCTGTGCCAACCTATGCTGTCCTGTGATTCTGAAAATACTTTGATTTCCACAAGCATTTTAATCTGCCTTAACAGACCCTGGTAGAATCACCTTTGGCTAGAAACAAGACAAAATAAAGCATCTTTTTGAAGCTACAAAAAGACTTGATAGAGGGTCTCTTAAAAGGGAGCCAACACTGTGCTTCCTCCTCCAGCAGAATTTCTAAAGCTAAATGGGTTTGGCCCCTGCTCCCTCTGCCACTAATACAGCAGGGCTTGTAGCACTACAGCACGCCTACAATCCTTCTGATTCCTTCCAGAGTTCCTCTACTGCTTTCTATTTTCTTATTAACAGCTACTTCTCATGATTTGCTGATCAGCAACAGGTTTACTTATGTTAGTCTTGTGTCATTTTTGTCACTATCTGTCAATGTTTTGCTTGTCTTCTCAAGTCAGCTACTCCAATTTCTTCAGTTGTTATTTATAAAATGGCAAGAGATAAACACACACAAAAATTTCACATATTATATAAAAATGAGACACACACATATATTTCCTGATTTTTATCCAGATGGTTATTGCTATGTGACAGATTGAAAAAAATCACTTAGTCAGAAATATAGTAATGGTTTGGGGGTTTTTTACATTTAAAGAAAGCTAGAATTCCTGGTTTATTTAAAAAAAACCACACACACAAAAGGAACAAACCAACAACTTTTGTTTGCAGTAGGTTAGGAACCTAGAAAATATTGATGACTATTTAAGCACTGGAAAAACCCAAATCTTGCAGATCTCATATTTTAGTCCATTCAAATCTCACCCTGCTATTTTCACTGCTAAATCTTTCATGACAATACTGGGGGAAAACCAGCTTGTTAAGAGTATCTTAGGTAATTATATATTACTGCACTAGAATAACTTGAAAAGAACTTGTGGTACATACCATTCTTGGAGTTCATGCATGTGAAGGAAACGATTCCGATATTCTCTTGGCAGTTCAAATTGGGAAGGGATGGGAAACATGGACTCATAAAAATCTCTAAGCACTGCTTTCACTGTTTGTGCATCCTTATGATTGTGATCAATATTGTCATTTAGGCAAACGAATTTTCTAGGAAACAAGATTACATTGTTAGAATATTTCCTTGATAACACAGGAAAGGCATTGCCAAACCAATAAAATAATCATTTGAAACAAAATTGACGGCATATCATTTTAAAACCAAACAGACATATTTTTTATTGTTGCATTATTTTAAATTATTTTCATTTTAATTCTAAAAGGACTAGGATTGACAGCAAGTCAAAACCTCAGAAGAATCCAGTACAGGCCACATTCTAATTATGTAATGCTGCCATCTAATGGGCACTAGAGTGTGCACCATCCCAGAGCCCATTGAACACAGCATTACCATCTGGGTAAGGATTTTTATACATCTGAATTATCATGAGTAAAGTCTCTTAAATAACAAAGTGAGCTCCACTGTAGGAGGGAAACATAGTAACTTATTAATATTTTAGTGTGCACGCTGAATTCTTTAGACAAAATCAACAGAACTATATTAGATTGTATAAGAGAG